GCTGTAATGAGCTTCACTGAGAAAAGTAATCCAATATGTAGTAAGATAATAGGTAATGGTACTAGTGCGCATGGTTCTTGTAGTTCTGAAAATAGTTTCAATGAACCCGATCAAGTGCGAGCAAAAGGGTGCGGCAAAAGGTTGAAGGGAGGAAAAGAGAAAGCAATGGCTAGAGCAAAAAATAAAAAAGATAGACGTTGCCACGGGTGTGGTAAAGTAGGCCAATCACACGATAAGCGAAATTGTCCGGCACTCACAAATCCGTAAGTAGTAATTCTTTTATTATTTAAGCCTTTCTTATTCTTCACCTTCTATTATCCCCTTGGTGTATATATATATATATATATTTTTTCATTATAATGTAGGTCTTCTACTTGCGATGATACAAATTGGCAAGAGAGTAATGAGTCATCAAGTGAAGATGGGGATGATGGGCTCCTATGAAGACGGTCTTCTACTTGATGTATAATATCTGTTGTAACTAAACTATGTTTCTCAGCTTATGGCCTTGCTTGGTGGGTTTTATGTATGTACTCTTGTTATTCCATGTGGTTAATGCTTTTGATATCAGATTATGGATGTGTACACTTTTTGCCATCCACTGTTGCTGCTTCTGCTGTCTTTCTCTCGAGATTAACCTTGCTCCCAGATTCACATCCTTGGGTAAAAGCTGATTGCAACTTTATTTTAATCATGTTTACTATTAATATATGTTTTTTGTCATTCTAAATTGTCTAGAATCTCATCGCAGAGCTCAAAGTTGCAACAACAAACAAATTATAAGCTGAAATCTGGACTGTGTATTAATTTTCAAAGCATGCGGCCTGATCATAAGGAACCACCTCATGATGAACAAAGCCGAGCAGCATCCCTCAAGCATCCCTCAAGCTCACGAGTCTGGAAACCTTGTTCTAAAGAAAGACATCAGTGTTCCCTAATAGCTTCTGGTGGATTGATTGTCCTTTCCTCTTATATGGAGTTTTGTGTGCATTCTTTGCACATCATATAAATTGTAAAGCATATTAATTCCCCCTCATCTCTTGATGTGGTTATGTTCGCGTCGATTGGTTTTTTGGGTTTTCTCTCTTTGGTTACCTTAACTGTAAGTTGGTCAGTTCAGTTCAGTTCTGTGATTGATAACGGTATTTTAAGCTAATTCTCTATTCCTTTGATTAGTCTGCCTGAAGCAATGCACAAGTTTATGTACAGACAGTCGTTTCAATTTTCTTCTTCCTTATTCTCAGAAGATTAGTTTATGTCTTTGGTTTTTTGGGTTATGTTCTGAGTTTGCCAGGTTTGTTGCTTGTTGCTGAAACTTGGTTTGCCAGGTTTGTTGCTTGTTGCTGAAACTTGATTATGAATGCACAGTTTTTGTTGCTGAAACTTGGTTTGCCAGGTTTGTTGCTTGTTGCTGAAACTTGGTTTGCCAGGTTTGTTGCTTGTTGCTGAAACTTGGTTTGCCAGGTTTGTTGCTTGTTGCTGAAACTTGATTATGAATGCACAGTTTTTCTGTTCAGGAAGCAAGCAAGCATGCATATTTGCTGGAGTTCTGATCGTAGCAAATTCTGGTTACAAATCATAAAAAGCTGTTAAAAATTCTGGTTACAAATCCTGAAGCTATGATCTTTTGAAAAGCTATTTTTGTTATACATTTTGAAGTAGAGAAAGAGTCACAGGTCGGGGATTTTGCATTGAAGGCTACAATGCAATCATGCTTGCGGTTGTCATGTTGATTACTGAAGGCCAAAAACAAGTGGCTGTTATATATCAGCACATTCCTGTACCTGATAGATTCCATGCTTGGGTTGTACACAATGATAAAAGTATCATGTGGACAGTGTAAAAAGATAGTAGGCACATCTGGGTACAAGAGAGAAAATCACCTTTTTATATCTTTATAAATCAAAGAAACTCCCCCATAAACTTTTAAAATTTATAACTCTTTAATCTAATAGTTGGCACTCACTTTCTGGGGACTTTCTGGGGACTTCTAACAAAAAAGATCCATTATAAAACTTTATTAGCAAAACCCACATTCATGTTACATATGTAAACAACAAACTCAGCCATGGTCTCCAACTCAAAACTTGTATATCAAAGCATCACTTAATATGTCTACTCATTCCGAAAGAAAGCAATAATATACTGAGCTTTTTGAAAATTGATCACATGAAAGTTCCCTCGGTTCAAAGAAAGTAACGAACCTAATACAAATTACATCACATGTTTTTTGCAATGGAGAAACCAACAAATATTGCAACGATACATACTAGAAACACTAATATTGTAAACAATGAACCTAATACAAAATCATAGCTAGAGAAAATAGAAGTTTCCCTAAGTTTTTCCTTGTCCTCATCCAGATTATGTCTCACTGGATATCTTTCTTCTTGAGCATACTCAGATGTTTGGACATGCCTCGAGCTGGATGCTGGATCACGAGCGAGTGTGTGCTTCTCCCATTCAATCAAAGCCTCTTCGTACGTTGCATACCCTTTGAAGGAGGCATTTGGGAACTTATCTACCTGAGACTTGCATTCCTCCCAATTATCAAAAATACCACATCGTCGACCTCTCTTCACAACATAAAAACTTTTTCTAGCCATGGATAACCTGAAAATACCCCAAATTGGAGGGTAAAAATTTTTTTTACAAATGATCAGTTAGCAAGCAAAGTTAAAAAAGTAATTATTTATCCTACGCACTGAATACTTTCAAATTAATACCCAATACCATTGTGCTCAATCAAACTTACTTTTTAACAGAGATCAAAAGCACAGAGATCAAAAGCCTGCATCCTTTTTTTAACAGAAGCTTACGCCAAGGTTTCATCTTCATCGCAAAGTTTGATCTTCTATGCTCGCAAGGTTTCAAAATGAGCACTGCAAGTCTTAATCTCGGTATCATTTTGGCTCTAAATCTTGATCAACTCCACTTCTTCGAGCTTGTTTTTATAGTTTTTGGATACTAAATATCTATTGAATATTTGTGACAGGTGCAAAAACTATTTCAACCAAAAAAAAGATACACAGAGGAAATGCTAAAGTTTAGTGCAGCCAACAAGATATTTCCAGAGGTTGAAATTTTTCCGATTCATCAGTATATAAATGAGGAACTTGAGAGAATGATCAAGGAGGACGTGAAGTATCCGTTTGTGATTGATATTGAGAACTCCCTCAAGTGTAAATTTGATATTTCAATGTCTACCTTGGAAAACATACCAATAAATTATCTATCGAGTGAATAACACTACAATGGTATTTGTTTTAAATACTTATGGAGTGACAGATCCTACAATGGTATACAAAAGATACGTAAAACTTTCAATGAAGAGGGAAACGTACAAAACCAGAGCTTAGAATCCATGAAAATGATTCTGTCCCTTTCATCACCAAATCATGACCAAATCAACAACTTATGTACTTTAGGGCCGTGATCCTTACCTGAGTTAGGGGAAGGAGGTGGCTTGATGGAGTAGGAGAAATGAACCAAGTCGGCGGCGATGCTGCTTTCGTCGGCGGCGATGCTCGAGATCGTGCTGGGCGGGGTTGGAGAACAGTCTGACGGAGGAGGAGAAATTGGGGAAGTCGGCGCTGGCTGAGATGCTGCTTTCGTCGGCGGCGATGCTCGAGATCGTGCTGGGCGGGGTTGGAGAACAGTCTGACGGAGGAGGAGAAATTGGGGAAGTCGGCGCTGGCTCTATCCTATCCAGGACCATTTCCTCTTTCTTAGCGTCTCCTACAACACTAAGCCAAGCATATCTAGAGCAATTAAACCATTGTTAAACCAAAAAATAAGCATGTTTTTGAACAATTAAAGCATTAATTATTATCCAATAACCAAACCACTATCCTATCCAGGACCATTTCCTCTTTCTTAGCGTCTCCTACAACACTAAGCCAAGCATATCTAGAGCAATTAAACCATTGTTAAACCAAAAAATAAGCATGTTTTTGAACAATTAAAGCATTAATTATTATCCAATAACCAAACCAATGGTTAGATAACCATCCCCACTTCAAATAAAACAGAACAAAATCTCCAGCAAACAGTGAGCAGATCAAAACAAAAATATTTCTGCAAGTGCATCGGAAGCAAAGATCCCCAACGTTAAACTTGTTGGACGGAATAAACTCCACAAAAACTTTGCTGCCAGCTACCCATCTCGAACTAATTACGTACAGCAATCGATCGGGTTACTGTTATTGTCTGATTAGATACAGGTTTTCGTATCAGATGAAGTCTGTTTGCATAACTGTTCATTCCTGAGATCTAGTTTAGTTTTCGTCGTGTCCTTACCTTAGCTGCATTTACTTGTATACCTCTGAATATATACGATATATACTTGTTAACAATGAATGACGGATCTTGTGTGATGAGGATTGAAGGTTATTGTTTTATATTCTAACACGTGTTGGCAGGTTAGCGGTATCAATTTTTCAGAAAATCCGTCCTAAATTTGTGGCCGGTGGGATTTGCAATCTAGTTTACTCTGAAATCATCTTAAAGCCTATACCACTACACCGAAACTCTGATATTATGATGAGGAATATTGTTTTATATCCTAACACTTTCTACATCGCAATGATATATAATCATAGATTTTAGTTCCGTGAAGCTCCGAAGCTTTTGCATCTCAACGGTAAGCTGACTATAATCCAGTTTGAGGTCTGTTTCATGGACCGTACTCTCTGAAGAAGCAGGCTATCAAGAATAATCTAAACAGAAGCATTGTGTAAATGGTTCAACGGCTACCATCAGTGCGCTTGAGTTCTTGTTTCAATTTGTAACCTGGTGGACCATAGATTCGATGCAACCATAGATTCGATGCTCGAATTTCATTACGGTACCTCCAGATAAAATGTAACGAAGATTTGAAGTATTAAACTGAGTTTCCGGATCTTGACCTATTACAAATTCAATGACAGTAGGGCGATATCATATACCAATTTGGCTCCAAGGCTCATGTTATTTTGTAGTTCATCTCACAGTAACAAAAATATCGCTAATTTGCAAATAGCTTAGGATAAAGGATGCAAAGGAGAGTCGGTCTAATTTTATTTTTCAGAGTTACAGAACAAATATATAACCTGTTTGCTCTGAGAGCCAATAACAATTTACGATTTTTAAGAAAAATCATGGTACTAAAAAGTATCAGAAATGAACAATACTAGCACTGTCTGATGAAGCAGCGTTAGGATCTTTGATTTGAGATAGCTCAGATGTAGAACTTCGGGTCACACCAACTGATCAAGCAACAACCTGACCAAAGAGCAGCTTTCTAATCTGTAATAAGAAAAAAGAAGAGGGAAAATTGTTTAAGAACTTTGAACGATGTTGAATTACTATTATGGAATTTTTTTTAAAAAAAGACCATTTTTCAAAAATAATTAGCAAAATCAACCGTTTTGTAAAATTATTAGCAAAATTAACCTCTTTTTTTTTAAAAAGGTCGACTTTGCAAAAGTTCAGCTTTAAAATACACGGGACTAGTAGACTAGTAGTCTCATGTATTTAGTTCTCACTAGATTTTATGCACGCGCAATGTACGTGGTTAAATATCATGATTAGTTATTTTTGCTTTATTTTCTTACTAAAATTTGTTCCTCGGTTACTCTTTGATAATTTTTGCTCACTTTTATTAAGTAGTTTTGATTTATTTTCTTACTAAAATTTGTTCCTCGATTACACTCTGATTATTTATTTATTTAAAGTTTGTTTGAATATGCTACACCCAGTTTAAATTTTTATGTTAATAGTTGAGTTGTTAGGGGATAATAAAGCCAATTTAAATTTTTTTTTCATTTGGATCGACGTGAAACCGAGCTTGACTTGAGGAAGTATAGAGTTATGAAAGTGAAAACATTTGAAAAAATAACATTATAAAAGGAATATGAATAATAAAACTAACGAGCCAAGATGATTGATTTAAAGTGGGCTAAAATGACAGAAATAGTTAATGAAAAAATCATAAACTGAAGATTAATGATAACTCTAGTACACTTTTATATGATAAAAACATTCACATATGCATATGAAAACACTAAACATAGTTTATGAAAATCCCTTCTAAAGATTCCAAATTTTACTAAAAAAAATAAAACTATTCTATAACAATAATAGTTTATGAAAATCCCTTCTAAAGATTCCAAATTTTACTAAAAAAAATAAAACTATTCTATAACAATTCACAAAACATTATCTTTTGTTGCTTCTATTTTATTTTTTATTGAGTCGAGATCAATCCTTCTTCATCTTTATCTTTTTCCTGGGCAATTCTAGAGTAGTGTTTTCATCGTCTACATCAATTGTGATATGAGACTGGCCGGAGCATGATATCTTTACTTGAACTGATTCATCTTTTGTCTTCTCGTCTAAATTCACAAAGAAGTTGAATAGATTTTTGATGTTCAACACAAACTTTTGACAATACAGACTTTGATTTTTTTCCTATTTCAATAAGAATAAAGGTTAATTTCATATACATGAATTTTTTTATGCTTTTATTTTATTACTTAAATAAGGTTAGGAGTTATCTTTTTTTCTCTACAATGAATTCTTCTGTTGTACATCCAATAAGAATTTTTGTTGTGTCATAATGTTACATTTGCTCTGTGTCATTTTCCATAATGATCTGAACTAAATACATTATATTTTTCATAGTCAATTTACTTTAGATTATAATATTAATATTTTGATATATTTATTCTATGAAGAAGGGATATCACTTAACATTGGTACTACATCATCGACGACTCTATAACATTTATCATCTGGACACTTATTATTAACATCTCTATCCACTTTCTTGTTGCAACCTTTGCAAACATAGAACCACTGCTCAACTCTATGATAAATGGTAGTTATCGTTGCATTAAAGGTACAATAGTGTGTCTGTATATTGGTAAATTATTCTTAGGTATAATTGTATGAATTTTCTAGTATGTTTTCTAAGATCATATCTCTTTCGAATGTTATAATGATTGTATATATTAGTAATTTAAATTTCTGCTGCATTTATAAAGAGTCTTAATAAAGATGCTTTTGTCTTGACAACTTACTCTAAAAGAGTGCTGCATATTAGCTTTAAAATATAATATTTTTTCTTTACGGTGTTATATGGATGTTTGCTTGGTTTACTTACTATTCTCTTATTTCTTTAGCAAGTTGTATCTTTGGATTGATATATATTATTGACACAATTTTCGATAACACGCATATCTCCTCTATAAAATTGAGACAGATATAAGGTGAATTTTATATTTAGTGACATTTATTAAGAATTTTAGTAATAAAATATACTACCTTCATATTTAGAGATATTGAATTCTAATAGTGCTATTACATTATTATCTTTGATCGTGTCTTTAAGAATTGATCATTCGTTAGTAGTCATACCCCTAAATAAAGTCAGAAGCAGGGTCGTGATACTATATAAGAAAAAGAAAAAGGGCGATTTTATATTTTTGGCTTACGCAGAGTCATGACATAGTAATTTTTTTATCTTCCATGAAAAAACTCCATTTGAAGTGAAAACCGCTTGATTCTTTTGAATGATATCTCTAAATTTTTTAATAGTTCTCCATACATATATCTTAAAAAAAATTACACTATAAATACTATTACCATTAGAGATCAATATTTATAAATTATAATCAATTAATGTTAAATCATTATATTATAATCTTTTATTAATTTTTTGTAATTTAGTCTTCTATCAATTAATGATACTTATATTTTTTGCTACTCTAACATATTGGTAAAATTATATGCAGTTACTTTAATTTATATAATAACATTAATTTTTAATCTGTCATATAATTTTTAAATTTTTATTTTTTAACTGGATATTTTTAATATGTTATTATTACTATTTTTTACCAGTATCAACTTGACTATTTTCAGATTCTGAAAAAAGATAGTAAACCTTAAATTATAAGTTATATTTTATATATATCTTAATGAAAGAATATGACATAATTACTCTTTTCTTTGCCAAGTTCTAAGTTTTTAGCTTTTTATTTTGCGTAATTTTAAACTTTTGAGAGTATTTTTGTCTAAATTTTAAAACGTTTTGATTTTTTTATAATACTCCATGTAATAAACTGATACTACGGAGCTGTTGCATATTTTTTATTAATCTTATTTAAATTTTTTAGGTATAGATAGCTCATGGGGTATTAGGATATGATTTAAGTATGATTAGGATAGATTATAATATAAATTAGAAATTTAAAATAGTACAGAGTAACATTGACTATGGAAAGCTTTTCCCGAACTCGTACTTTTAAAAGGAATATGATTTTTGTTTTCCTTAATTTTATTTTTTATAATTTTGAGAATGACTTTTGTCTCTTTAATTTGTTAGGTGGCTTTTGTAAATATCTCATCTATATTATGTACATTTGTAGGTTTACGTTGTTCCTTGGTTCGACTTTTGGGGTAGATATTATTTGTCTCATTAATTTATTTAGTTTTTGCAAATATGCCTTTCATTTTGTAGATTTGTAAATTTAGCATTTAATAATTTTATTTAGATTTACATTTTAATTTAAACCGTATATTTATCTTCATACTATGTATATCTAATAAGAATTCATCAATTTATCAACTTACTCTTACTTAATTGAATAATATTTGAATTCCAATGGTATTTTTGTCTACCGAAAGATTTTTCCGAACTCGTGCTTTTAAAGAGAGTGATTAATTAAACCTAAAACATTTCATTACAAAGTAGACGAGACGACCGTTTCAGATTAACTGTAATTAGCAACCACTAATTACACGAGACTAGTAGTCCCGTGTATTTTAAAGTCAGTATTTTGCAAAATCAACCTCTTTATGGCCACTAGGCCAAAAAGAAATCGATTTTGCTAATATTTTCATAAAAGGGTCTGTTTTGCTTATTATTTTTCAAAAATAGTCTCTTTTAAAAAATTATCCTACTATTATTTATGGGAAATTGAATTGAATAAAAATTGCATAGATATGGACACCTGCAGATTGTTAATAACAAGTCAAGGATTTGGTGACTTGATTCCAAACATGCCTAAAAAAACTTGTTAGAGGATGCTTCTTTATTAACCATTCGCTGCTTCTTGATAACGAATTTATGCAGACATTCAGATGTGGATGCCTAAGCACTTGCAATTAATACATAGTTGGAGAACAAACACATCTAACTCATGCATGTATACACATATACCTAATGGTAAGGTATTCCACTATGGCAACAAAAGTTGTTTGACATATGAGGATCCTCTTATTTGCTACTTCTTAGTATCTTAATTTCCATTGATTGTCACATGTCTCATCCAAGTTGAAAAGAATTTGATGCAACAGAAGAGTTGATCTAGAACTAAGATTACGATTGATAAGCTGACAACTCGATTAGTTGGTTCGTGAGTAAAATGCAGTTATCAAGGGTCAAAACACATCTGGTTATGACAAAATATTGGCCATTTATCATAACAGACATAAGCAATGAGCAAGAGGATACAAACTAATAGAGCTTGATGATAATTTAATATATCTCTTTAATAGCATGAGTAAAGAGATGATATCAGTATTCCAAAGAGATAATTGAAGTCCTAAAGAAGATAAGGATCAACAAATAACCACGCGGAGAGGGAAAAATAAGCACCTCTGGTAGCTTCTTCCGGAAAACAACATCCAACCTAGCATCAAGTGTGTTTTCGCAGACAATTTTCCCATCTCGAGAAGCCAAGACAACACCTCCAGAGCTGAATTGCCAAGTTTTACAGTGAGAAACAATGACTCAATTCACCATGAATAATAGCAAAAAGCCAAATTTCTTCCGAAATTCTAACAGTGTGAAAGTCTTAGTTAACTCAAATTCAAGATGGATTAATCAATATGTACAAGGAAGTTGTAACAGAATGTTAGAAGTGTCACATTTAACCACCAAACCTTTCCTTTGAGTGACTGTGATAGTGGTGCTGCTGTTGTTTAAAATGATCGCTGTCTTTGTAAGCCAAAAGGTAACATCAATTGTTTTCTCCTTTGACTTTTTGTTATTGGTTTGGTCACAAAAGTATCCATATTTGATACATGAATCTCAATGTTCAAATGTTCTGATATTTTATGTCATCCGCTGACTTGATCCATTCACATACTATATTTGTTAAAGTTCAACAGGTTAGAAGACACCTGATTTACAGATAATTCCCAGATTACCAAATATAGGTTAATTGTTCACAATTTTTTAACTTCTATTTCATATACTAAGTTGTCTAGTTTGATTTAAATTGATTTTGAAATTTCCAATGAGCCTGTCACTGGGGCACTGGAACCTCTACTAAAGCTGAGTTTCAAATGTTCTGTCTTACTAGAATAAGCAATAAAGATAAACCACATTTAATTATAAAGATAGCCACATGCATAATCAGTGTTAGTTTACTCGTTTTCTACTAGCTTCTTGAGAGATTACTTGAATAAAAACAAAGAACCATAAAATGGTTCATCATGATCATTTCTAACAAAACTTTTACGAGTTCCATAATAGTATTTCACCAAACAAGATATTACGACTGACTACATTGGACATGGTTTTTTCAGGAAATGACGAAAAAAGAACTAGTTCAGGGTAAGGTTTGTTTGTTCAGAATAACCAGAGTCAAATCTGGAGGGAAAAAAAGGCAGGTCCATAAAAGAATCGATATGTGGCAGTACAGTGTAAGGATTAATTTTTCTCTGATTAACATCTTGTAACAACATACTCAAAATGTTAAGGAATATCACAAATCAGAGAGAACACATTACCAGAAAAGCCCATGTGCCTGCTGATGGCTAGGAGCTGGTGGAAGAAAAACATAATTGTCCACCACAATCTCAGGAGGGTGCACATTTGCTTTTTCCGCATATTCATGCTTTGCAGAATGAAGCACTGAGTCAACAAGCTCGAGGTCAGCTTCCCGACACCGCAATAACACAGCTGGCTCTTTAAGCCTCAGCAAGCTCTGGAAATATAAGATCAAACACTTATTTCATAAATAATTATACGTTAGAGAATAAAAGTTTTGGTTGATGCCTGTCCTAGAAACAGTAAAGCAATCAAGAATATTGATATAAGCTTCCTTATTCTTCTAATGATTTGAAACAAACAAATTGTCTAATAAAATATTAGTATAATCCCAATGAAGTTAAGATTTATGAAGATTCTTATTTCACATTCAGTGAAGAAACTAATGTTCCAACAATGTATAGATGCATATCTTTTCATGACTTGTCTATGAACGCAAGAAAGTTCCCGCAAGTTCTTATAAGTATAGACTACCAACTAATGTAAGTGCAACAGATTAACAACCTGAACAATCAGCTCTTTGAGAAGCTTTTTGTATGTATGGTGATGGTGGCTGACTTGCAAGAGCTCCTTTCCAGCTGCCTCCTTCATGGAGCTAACCAGATCATCCTGAGCCTGGAGAACTTTGATACGAGAAGCATTCAACTGCATGGAGTACTCGCTGCAGAAAGAACCGTATTATACTAAACTCGCTGCAGAAAGAACAGTATTATACTAAACACAGAGATAATACAGCAAATATTGATCAGAGTAGCATGAAGCTACATATCACCATTTCAGGCAGGGATTAATATCCCTCCACACAAGACAATCATATTCATGAGAGACAAATTGTTGCACACATTTTAATCACTAAACTTTCCATCTAACACTCTGGGGGAGCCACTTTAGGTCATTTCGGATTAGAAAAGTTTCGCTGTTAGAACTAAGGTTTTGATAAGAAAAAGAAAAAATGCTACATATGACAAAATTTCCGTTACTAGAGCATGATGGAGTAGAATCAGCATGTGTTAACAAGCAGGCTTGCTTCATCATAATAATGCAGAAAATTATCATGTGAAAGAATTGATATCGTAAAATATAACGGGGACACAAATCAAGCCATGACAAAATACAAACAAAACAACATCGTGCACAAAAGAGATAATCAGAAAGAAAATAGTCTACATTTGAAAGGAACGAGCAAGCGTTGAGCTGCTTACATTTTCCTCCGAATTTCAACCTGCTTCTCCTTTCGTTCATATTCTTGCTTGATCTTCCTTTTCTCAGCTTCAACGAGTTGTAACTTCTCAATGTTAAATTCCTACAAAAATAAAGTAGAAGATCAAGATCCCCTATCTGAAGTCTTTCAAGAATAAGTCAAATAATAATGGGGATGCTCACTGCACTTTTAAGTATATTACAATCATATGGAGTATGTTGGTCACAAAAATCCTTGGGAAATCTCGGGGAACACCTTTTATCGTGGGGGGGAAATAATTTTATGGAAGTACGGATCATGGCGTATGAAAGCGTATCTCTAACATTTGCGGAGTGAAAAAATTTAAAATCGCAACAAATTTGTGAATTTGGGAAGAACATTATTTGTAAGGAGTTGAATGTAACAGACAATCTTTAACTAAATAAAATACAAATAAATAAAAAAATCGCTGCATATTGAGGGATGGAAAGATTAGAGATGGAAAAGAAAATGTTGCCTCTAATTAAACTTGAATTTGAGAAGATTTTTCATAAAAATTCTCTCTTTTCCCCCTCAATTAACTGCGTAATTCGAACTTAAGTACTGAATGGACCAGCAACGAGACTAACTATAATAATTGACTTACTAGATCTCATCAAAAAGAGATCACATAAAAAAGAATCGGTCGAGGTCGAAAAAATCGAGTGAATACAAAACTTGGTACCTCTTCAGCGGAGACAGAGATCTCGTTGGCTTTCTCCTCGGCCTCCTGCCGAATGAACCGCACCATCTGCTGGATCTGCTTCGAAACATCTGCGTCGTTCATCTTCGCTCAGATCTTGGATCCGACGGCTCTCCTTGCCCTATTCCTCGATGGGAGAATGGACGAACAGAGCAGAGAAAGGAGAGAGACGGAGCAGATCTGAGATCTTTGGGTTTTGTTTTTTATTTGGTTGGAGAAAAATATGAGTTAAATAAAGGGTTTGTGATTTGGGGATAATTTAAGATAATCAACCCAGTGAATTAGAAATGTCAAGTAGATTACTCTAGCGATAATTACCGATTGGTGGGCGAGAGCCCGCGAAGGAAAAAGGTAAATCTACTCACGGATGGCGATCCCAGTAAATAATATATTTGTATTTACTGCAGTATATCACTATAGCATAGAGGAGGAATACTATAGTAGAAACGAGATATTGTAGCACTTTAAAAATTTTCCGTGCTAACACCAATAGACTTGGTAGGAAAAAAAACTCCTAATAAATGTTATGATCAACTTGGGGAGAGAAAATTGCAAAGCTTTAAAAAGAGAAATTAAAAAATAAAAAATAATTTTACATAATTAAAAACTTTTTAAATTCAAATAGTATAGCCATTGACATTCAAGTTTCCTTATATTACAAAATTATTATGTAGCTTTTTCACTAATTATTTTCCAACCAAACATTGAGCTTTGTACGGGAATGATTCCCTACAATATAATTGTAAATATTCAAAATAATAAATTTGAAGTTAATTCCACGAAACAAAAGTGTCCTTTTTAGATTGGTAAGTTGGACTTTGGTATCATAAATCATATCATACTCCCATTAAAAAAAAGAGTTGTGAAAAAACTTTTTATGAACTATATTACCCTTATTCTTTCTTGGATATCACATTCTAATCTTAACTAAACTAAATTAATTATTATTGTTAATTAATTATATTATATTCCACTTCAAGTTTGTCTAACATGGTCCCTGAAACTTTCAATGGTATTGTAAAACTTTACATCATATTAATTATTACTAATGTATAAATAATATATTAATAGGCCATTACATGTTAATAAATTATTTATGGAAATAGTAGAAAACATAGAATTATCCTAAAATTGTACCATGACACTCATATAGGAAAATTATAAAGAATATTCTTGCGTTTAGGTAACAGGACAGAAGGTACAAACATGCAATTTTAGAAAATATTAGGATATTTAAGTGCAACAAGATACAGTGCAACAAGATACAAGTGGAGGTGCATAACTTTCGTGCTATAAATTAATTACAAGTTTGCCTAACTTGGTCACTAAACCCTTCAGTGTTATTGTAAAATTCTACATCATATTAATTATTACTAATGTATAATAATATATTAGTAGACAAGTACATGTTTATTAATTATTTATGGAAAGAGTAGAAAACATAGAATTATCCTAGAATTATACCATGATACTCATATAGGAAAATTACAAAGAGTATTCTTACGTTTAGATAACAGGACAGTAGGTACAAATATGTAATTTTAGAAAATATTAGGATATTTAAGTGCAGCAAGATACAAGTGGAGGTGTATAACTTTCATAAACTATAAGGTATTTAAGTTCAATTAAGTCTATAAAGATTTGAAACCTTTGTTAGCCATTGTTCTGGTGTTCCCATTCGCTAGAAATATAATGTATAATAGACAAAGCACTGATGAGTGCATTTCAGCAAACAAGGCCCCAATCAACTTCATGGCCCAAGCCCAACAGAGGCCTCGACCACACCGACTCATCAAATCGGCATTCTTTCATGCCGACACAAAAGGCAGGATCAGCCGACCCTATCGTCGAAAACGACCCACCAAGGGCAGTCGACCATTTACTCGGCGCCTCACAGAGATGACTTGATGAACATTTCCTATCGACTAAATTGAGAAATAACATCCGCCTCAAGTCTCTTCCCCTGAGCACATGTCAGCATCTCAGTCCACCTCGGATAAGCCTTATCTTGATTCTAGCCTAAAGGTCTTCATGACTTGTCAGCTGCCCACGTGCCTTCTATCACGGCCTCAATCACTTCCCTAAAAATGTGGAGACACCCTCTTTCATACCGAGGTGACTTCCCCTTCAGTCGTCAGTCGATACATGTGAAGCGATAGATGATTAAGCCTGTCAGCGTGCCTTCTGTCACACTCTTAATCACTTCCCAGAAAATGCGAAGACACACTCTCCCGTACCAAAGTGACTTCCCCTTCAGTCGCCAGCCGACACCTGTAAAGTAAGAGATGACTCGGCTCTTAGCGTACACTTTGCCACCGCCTCCCTATGCTTGGCTAGAAGTGACCCTTTTATCCCCATCATAGTGATATATACAGGTAGACTCTTAACCTCAAAGGGGGGGCCCGCTTTCCCTCTAAGAAAGATAAAGAACACACACAGTTCTTCATATACACTGAGGAGCTCATACAGACCCTCTGTAACAGCACATTGTCACCTTAAGAACCACATCGGTTCCTGACCTTCCCCTTTCCCACTCAAGTTTCACTAATGTTTGGGTAGAAAATTGTTTTCATTACTGAATTCATTACAACTTCGGACGTTACAATAAATTTAAAACAAAGATAGCCTTTTTATAAGACTTTTAATACAATGAAAATAAATTACAACTTTCTTTCAAACAACATGCAACAGGTGTTTATCACATACTGCTTTCGCGGGATCTTTGCATGTGCCGGGTTTATCCGTGGACCACCTGCGGATCGGATCCGGTTATCAAAAAATTAACAGAGCTCTTACTTCACCAAGGAAGTATTCGCTTAAAGCACTGAAATCGACCAAGCAAAATCAGTAGCTCTTTCGAGATTAAGACTAAGCCTAATCTCAAGGAACGGACGAATGGGGCTTTAGATCCTTCGAACTCTCACTCTTTATGCTGAAGAACTTCGCCAAGATCTGCTAGCCTCCTCTAAAATTTGTGCTCTTTTGCTCTCCAACTCGGCAGTACCTCCTCGTCTTGATAATAATTCGTCTCCTCTGAAAGGAGGCTCTAGGTTTGTATTTATAGGGCTCCGGATACGGGGTATTTGGATAAGAATAAGAGATTTGGCTATATCTTTAGTTGATAACGGTCTAACCATGTTTTTGGATGATATCCAATCAGTTGGGAAAAGCTCTGGAACGAACAAATCCTAAGAAAATATCAAAAAATGCGTTTTCGGGCAGTTGGCGCACGTGGCAGACTCTGGTGTCCCGGGGGGACGCGAGACACCAAGTGGTGTCCCTACGTCTCACGGGGGCGCGGGACACCAAATAGTGTTCCACTGGGGCGCGAGACATCAAATAGTGTCCCCGCGTCCCGCGGGGGCGCGGGAGCTCGGCACTTAGTCATTTTTGGCCTCCCAGACTTGTATTTTCCGTCGTTTTGCATCTTTTGTCATTTTGTTAACTTGTATGCCTCGCTGACTTGCTTCATGTGCTCGTTAGCTTCTATACGGTCTTGAATGATCCCGTTTGACTCAAATGATGACATTCATTATCTTCTCTCTATCTCGAGCCATGTTCGGACACCTATAGATATTTTTGACGTCTACAACTAACTTAACCATCAGAGGAATCATGGGGGAACCGATCCCCACTCTCTCATGAGTTCTTCTTGTATGTGCAGCTTGGACTTTAGCCTCCAATTCAAGAACCAGGCATAAAGTCGAAGAAGGAGGCGACCCCTTCATTAATATCCTCTATCACGTCCCAGCAAGGACTCAAGAGGAACTGATCCCGCCCCGGATCCACACCTATCCTCTTATGGATATAATTAACTGTTTGATCCTAGTCATCATAGTTTGGCACCCACCGTGGGGCTCTCCTCCCTTTTTCGAGAAGACATGCCAAGTTCTGAACAGGGGTCTAATTCTACTAGCCCTGAAGAACAACACTGGAGTTGTACCGTCCAAGCTAAATGAAATCGGGAGTTGTATCATTCAAGCTAAGGATGGTTAGTTTTGGCTAAGAGGAATCAACGTAAGCATAATCCTCGAGACCTTTGCAACTTTGTGGGGAGTGTTTGCCAAGTACGCCATATACTAGATGGTAGAGCGACCATTAGCACCCCCAAAGGCCTTCCAGAAGAAGACGCACCATAAGGGTGACTGTCTTCCTTGAACAAGCAGCTCCAACTTTTAATTACCTTTGCAGAATAACTCTGGCTCCCTGAATACAGAGAAGCCTTGAGTGGAATCACCTAGAGAGCCTTATTCTGATCATGGGTCCTGATCAGATCCAATATCGCTCAAGCTCCGACTGGCAATATAGCTCATATGAGCACAGGAGCAGCGATCAAGTCTGCGCTAGGCGCCTTAGACTCTGATACCTCTTTAAAGGGAACAATTCTCATCTATCAGAGATGAGATTATGGGAAAAACTTGAAGTTTGTAGGCTAGTCAACTTGTTGGGGAGAACGCCTCCGGCTTCTTAAGCATCTTCTTCAAGAAAGAATTTCACCATAAAAGTTGCCTAAGCTTTTATGGTCGAAGCATGTGACCCGCATGATCTCTGTAAGGGAAGCCAATCCATCCACAGGATGATCCAGAGGCTACCCTCAAAGAAGATGTGATCTCAGAGAAACCTTGGTTGATGAGATAGCAAAAGCACTTTCGACTCATCACCAGTCAACAATGAAGCGTCTACATCTACAATTACAGACGGCTTCACATTCCATGAAGCTGATTTTAGCTAAGAAACATGGAGCATTTCAAGCATCAGACGCCCCTAAACGTCATACGCCTATGGCGGATACTTTACATAAATGTGTAAATTTTAGTACTAATAAAATCTTACCAACTATGAGTTGACTCATGTCTCGCGCTACAAAGTGCCAAACTTAAGCAAGGATCAAGTGTTCACAAATGCTAAAGACCTAATCAACTTCCATAAGTTCTAGGCATTCGACTTGTCAGTAGAATTTTAAGCTCTTGGTATTTTCAGGAATAAACCCAAGGCATCAACCCTATGGTCAACTCTCATAGTCGTCTCTCGGATATATGGGGATATTGAAGACCTAAGCACCTACTTAAGACCTAGGCACCCATTTTATGGAATAAACCCCATGGCACCAACCATATGGTCGACTCCCACAGTCGCCTCTCGACCATACGGGGATATTGAAGACCTAGGCGCCTACGTAAGACTAGGGGTGTGCAACGGTCAGTTCGGTTCGGTTTTTGCTAAAATTTG